CTTTACTAAAAATGGCCAATTTTTTGAAATATTTTTATAGACCTAGATACAATAGCTTTCAAAACAATTGTGCAATTATTTTGTAAAATTTTTAAAATATATCAAGATATATTTGAGGTATTTTTGAGATTAAAATATTAAAATAATATCAAAGTTAAGGTATGATCTGCCTAAGAATGGCAGCAAACTACTATATAAATTCGGGGGAAAAATTTAAAACCAAAAAAAGGCATTATCTCATGATCCAGTGATTGGATTTTGATGATCCCTTTTCGAGTTTATAGCTTTCGATGCACTCTTCAAAACAAAAAAAAAAAATTCGAAATTGGATTGGTATATCACAATATAATCACAAAAAATGATTTTTTCCAGGTAAATCTTCCGATGCCCCGATAAATCTTCTGTTGCCCAGAAAAAATTATATTTGCAATTATCTTGTGATATATTGGTCCAATTTTAAATATCTTTTTTTTATTTTAAAGAGTACATCAAAAGCTATAAACTCAAAAAGGGATAATCAAAATCCAATCACTGGATCACGAGATAATGCCTTTTTTTGGTTTTAATTTTTTCTCCTGAATTTATATAGTAGTTTGCTGCCGTTCTTAGGCGAATCATGCCTTAATTATATTATAATAATAAAATAATAAAAGTTTAGTTAATAAAACAAAAAAAAATTCTACAAAAAAAAAGTAACAGAAATATTTACCTGTGAAAAAAAAATATCAGTATTAACGTATATATCAGTTGCATTATCATGCCTTTCTTAATCTTCTATATTAAATATTAACACATTTGATATTTTTTGCAAGTTTGATATTTCTTGCAGCATTTCAATAAATATTTGGTTTTGTTTAAAGATTTTTTTTCATTTTCTCAGTTTGGTAGAGAAGGGAAAAAAAAAAGATGAAGAGTCTGATAAACAATAATATCAGAATCAAATGTTAATAATAAGCATGTAATGTAACCATACCTAATAGCAAAATTCATTTCCTTTTAAGGTAAGAAGTATAATTACACGTGATTTATGTATAGACATAAGTTGTATAATAAGAAATTTTCTATTAAATAATAAGTTATTTGTAAAAAACAATTTTTTATTTAAAATCCTATAGGTATATTTTATTATAATTATACTATTATTAGGTACTACAGAAAATTACTATATAAATTTAGAGAAAAAAATTAAAATCAAAAAAAAGCATTATTTCATAATCTAGTGATTGGATTTCAATTATTCTTTTTTTTTTACTAATTAGTAATTAGTGGTATTTTCTTCAAAATAAAAAAAAAATATTTAAAATTGTACTAATATATCATAAAATAATTGTAACCTATAATTTTTTTTTTGGACAGTAAAAGATTTATTTGGAATTTCAGAAAATTTAACTAAAAAAAAATCATTTTTTGTGATATACCAATGATCAGTCTAATTTTGAATATTTTTTTTTTGTTTTGAGAGTGTATTGAAAGCTATAAACTCAAAAAAGGATCATTAAAATTCAATCACCAGATTATAAGATACAGTACAGTAATGCCTTTTTTTGGTTTTAATTTTTTTCCTTAATATTTTAATTTGTTTTTTTTTTAATTGCAGTACGTTTATGAATTTATTAAAACAATTTTAAGTAATGTAAAATATAAAATGTAAATAACTATATAACTATTCTATAAATTATTTGTTATATTATTTAAATACCTCACATATATATATATGGTTAAATGATCCATTATACTTTATATATAAAATAAGTTTTTTTAGCCAGGAACTCTGTTTTCTGATTATATGATCTACAATATTTTAATTTAAATAAAAATTAATATAAATATAAAATATTTAGGGTATTGTTAAATATTACCAGTAATGATAAAGTTAAAAAAACACATCGTAATTTTTTTTTATTTAAATAATAATAAAACACGGTTTTGGTTTTATTTTAAATTTATATAATAAAATTCCAATAATGAATAAAAGAATGATTTTTAAACATTTATTAAGTCTCTTGTGATTACTGTAATAAAATTACATAATCAATATACAATTAAAAATCTAGCATTAATTATAATAATATTTACATCAATCGTTATCTAAATAAAGCATATAATAATGAGTTAGTGTAATATGTTAATTTTTGTAATATATGTATTAAAATAATCCTATTTTTTAATTCGTTTTTGTACAATAGTATGTTGAGTAATATTTTTTTTTTTTTTAATGTAAAAAAAAAAAAAAAAAAGAAAATATCAAATTTTTTTTTCGATTTTCGATTTAAAAAAAAAACAAATCAAAAAAAAAAAAATAAAATAAAACGGGTAAATAAATAAAAACGAGAGCTAATCAACAATAATTTTTTTTTTAAGAATATGTAAAGATATAACCACAACAAACTAAATATTACAACTCATTTCCCAAAAAATAGTCCATTAGATGCCAATGCACCCTTTTTATTATTATTACTTTTTTTTAAAAAAAACTAACTCTCTTCATCTTCTTCCATAATCATTGCTGGCTGTCTCCGCGAACTTCTCGATGTTAAAGGACTACCACGCCGTGGATTTATCCCATTATTATGTAAGAACATCATCTGTGAAACATTAAATGGCATATTTGGTGGTGAAGGTGAAGAATCTCTTCTAAAACTAGATTCACTACGTCTACTACTAATTGGAATGTCTATACCATTGTTCATTGCTCCATTTGTATTACTACTACTATGATGATTATCTTCAATATTGTCTTCATTAACAATGTTCAATGATGAAGCTGTTGAAGGTAAAGAATGAGAGCGGGAATGTAATAATTTATTAAAAGGTTTTGACAAATGTGGTGATGAAGGTGTTGGTGAAGATGATCTCGGTGATTCTGGCGGTGTTGACATTAAATGATTCATTACAGATTTTGTAGTAGTTAGCGGTTTTTCAACAGGTGATACTTTCTCTTCTAATTGTTTACCTCTTCCAGATGATGTCTGTAATACATCGGAGTGAACTGGTGGATATGACGCTAGACGATTATGACTCTTTTTATTACGAAGTGGAATATCTACATCACAATCTGTTGGGGATAAAGGTGGTGAAACCGGACTTGTTGGGGATTGTGATAAATTTCTTGGTGGTGAAATACTTATCTGAATAGGTTGACGTGATGGTGGTGAAGGGAATGCAGGTGGGTTCATGGTGGTATCATCGGGTTTGATTACTGGTGAATCATTCGGAGATGATGAGGCTGAAGTTGACGGTGAGGGTGATGCTGTACGCGACCTTGGATTAGATGTAAAAGTGCTTGCAGCATCAACATATTCTGATTCGTCACCATCGTCACTTGATGCTAAAGTCTCTTCTGATATCTTGTGTGGAGATACATCAATTTTGTGTAATCCTATATATTCTTGTTTAGATATTTGAGATGGATTAGTTCTGATATTATTAGGTGGTGGTGTTGGTGGAGGTGAAGCTAATATTATTGTTTTAGATTTTGAAGATTCTACAACCATTAATTGTTCATCTATTGTGGATTTTTCTTTTATAATCTTGGATTCAAATCCATCAAGAATAATGTTTTCTATCGCTCTTTTCTCAAAAGTGTCCCTATTTTCCTGATTATTAATAATATTATTTTCAGATGAACCAGAACCGGAAGCAGCATTAAAATTGTCCACTAAAATATTTATTGAATTAGCTCCTATGCTTCGTCGTTTAACCTGCTTACGCCCCCAGGATGAACCTGGATATGCAAATGGATTTCGACGATTTTTAGTAAACAAAGTAGTTGTTCTAGGTCTCGCTGCCGGTGGTGTTCCGGGTATCGGTAACATACTTGTAGGTGAATTCTGTGAAAGCACAACAGAAGGTGTAACAGGAGATATCGTTATAGGTGCAGGTGTAGTACGTTTATTCCCTTTGCTTCCTTGTATTGAGCCTCTCTTCTTCTTTTTATCTCTCAATGAATTACGATTTATTGATGATCTTCTTGATAGGTTAATATTTGTACCATCATAACCTGGTGGTGTTTTATTACCACTTCTTCTGTTGAATCGCGATTTTGTATGTACTAAATCAGCTGGGACTACTACACCACTTTCCGCCCAATTTAGCATACTTTTCTTATATGCATTATTAGCGTCTTTTGGATTATTTGATCCGACCCACCATCCCTTGATCGTTGACAACGTTGACAAAAATCCTTTCTTCCGATGATTACTCTTCCCATTAGGTATAGGCATTGGCGCGGTATTACTAAGCGGTATTGGACTAACTGAACGTGAACTTATAGGGCTGGTAAATGAGGAATATTTTTTTGGTGATAAAGGAGGAGAAGCCATGGCAGTAATTGTGGTTAAAACGGGCTCAACAGCCTCTGGATGCGATAATATTAACGATTTACGCCTTTCACGTGAAGCAGGAGCTGCATGATAAGTTTTTGGTGGTGGTGTTGGCGGTATTATTTCTTCTGAGTTTTCCACCACTTTTTCTTCTTCTACGTGATATGTTCTATCAAGTTCAGCATTATTTATTGGTGAATCAACTTCATTTTCCTCTTCGGATTCTTCCTCTATATTTATTTCATCATCACTCGTACCAACAGCTACATCTACTGTTGTTACAGAACTCTGTGCTCCTTCAATTTTTTTCTTTTTTCTTAATTTAGTTAGCAAAAGCCACCAAAGTCCACTTGCGGAATCAACTTTACCTTCCAAAACACTATTTTTAATCCCTGCTATGTCAAATCCTAAGCTGTCTAGTTTTTCTAGTAATTCTTTTTCTTCGGGCGTTGTAAATAAAACTTTTTCATTAAAAGCCTTACTATCGATTGAAGATCTTCTAGATGTTTTTGACGTTGAAGGTCCCCAAGTTTTTTGCATCGATGAACTAGGTGCAGGTGTAAAGACTTTCATTCGACTTTTAAAAGCTGAGGGTGCAATGTCATTATTATTATACCGACCATATCGAGTATATGTCATCGGATAATTATTTTGAGATGAAGTGTTTTGTTTTGTTAAAAAAATTTCTTGTCGTTGTCGTTCAAGATGACTTGTTGCATCTAGATGACTATCTTTGGAATGTGAGATAACTGTTATTTCTTTTGTAGGTTCCTTCACACTATTTTCTTCTTCGATTGATGATATTGATTCGTCATCGGCTACTTCATCTGTAGCCCAATCATCATCATCATCATCGTTGTATTCTTCTTCCTCATCTTTTATTGTAAACCATGCATGTTGCAAAATCTGTTTTAATGTTGGTCGCTCCGATGGCTCCAATTGCAATATCGATCGTATGAGGTCTTTTGCTTCTGTAATTATAATTGTAATAAAAAATCAATTATACAAATTATCACACACTGTTCGCATAATTCGACTTTGCCTCTTTGCTTTTTTACTATAAATACTATAAATACCGTTTGATAAAAACTCTTCCATTTCATATTCGCCCTTTATTATTTTGTGTTTCATTTCATTTTCGTCATCGTCGTCAAAAGGAAGTGCTCCGCAAAGTAATGTGTAGAGAATGACACCGAGAGACCATATGTCAACCTCTATTTACGCAATGATAATGAGTACTAATTTAAACATACACTTGTAACTCGATATTTAAATTATTAAATTAATTTACCTAAACCAGAGTATTTTTTGGCAAGTAACATCTCTAAAGAAAAGAAAATTAAAGGTTATACGAATAAATTGAGTACAATAAACAATAGTATCTAGAGAAACTCAAAGTTCTTAAAGAAAAGTGAAAGTAAAAAATCTATGAAAAATAAATAGCACACTCTATTATATACCGAGTGTAGACTATCAGGAAAATGAGGAGAAAACTTTGAGAATTTATTAGTAACACTAATAAATTTCACCTTTTCAGATTACTTGAAATATTCGTTTACAGTAGTAAAATTTCCCTAAGCTTTGACTAATAGATTTCACTATCGAGACTCGTATGCTTGAAATTAAATCTCTAATATAATATCCTGCAAATTCCACTATTTTTTTTTCTTATTTTTTCTATAGAGAATATGCACGTACCTGGAGCAGAATACCCGGTAGAACCGCAAATTGTTTCCAATAATTTTTTGCTTTCACACTCTCGTGTGAAACCAAAATCACCCAACTTAATATTATTGTAAGCATCGAGGAGAATATTTTCGAGTTTCAGGTCCCTACATTACAAATTCGTTAAATCTACTATAAAGCATAATGATTTACAATTGTAAATCGAGCGTAATTCGTACCTATGAACTACTCTTCTGTCATGACAATATTTGACCGCCCTACATAATTGGCCAAACATTTTTCTCGCCAGATTTTCTCTTAGGCGCCCACGTTCAACTAAAAAATCATATAATTCGCCACCTTCGCAATATTCCAATACCATATAAATTTCGGTTTCTGTTGGTATAACTTCGAGTAAGGATATAATATTAGGATGATGCAAATAGCGGTGGTGATGTATTTCACGAGTGAGATTCTCAGCATGAAGTTTTGGTATTATTTTTATTGCGACCTGAACAAGAAACAGTGTCACGTTGTCAGAAAAATTCATATAAAAATGGAATAGTTAAATAATTAACAACTTTACTTTTTGACCGGTCAGTTTATGCGTTGCAAGTTTTACTTTTCCGTATGTTCCTAATTAAGTTGAATTGAAATTATGTTATTATAAAACATAAATTAATAATTGTATTGAAAAAAAATCATATTTTTACTTACCTTCACCCAGAGTATCCTCTAGGGCATAATTACCGACTGACCGTATATTTTTTGTTGAAAGTTCTTTTAATAATTCTTGGTAATCGGCGGCGAGCTAATTGTAAATCGTTAAATCGCATAAATGGAAATTGTTATGTGAAGTTTATAAGCAAAGTACAGCAATGAGAATAATAAATTTCTTATTTTTAATATTTATTGAACTTACTTTTGCTCTTTGATTTCTTGTATTCGGAACACCTGCCACACGCGTTTTCCCATAAGACATATGCATGTCGTCCAGCAACGTTTATTATGAAAAATGGGAGCGTTATATTTGCATATAAGTTATAAAAGGAGGTAAAATAATTTTAAAATAATAATAATATAATAATATAGTGGATAGTATTTATACACAAGCGGGACAAAGGGTTATATTGTTCTGTTCTATGCCACAAAAAACTCTATTTCTCCGACTTAATCCGCAGTCAGTAGTTTATTCGGTTTTGTGTTATATATAGTTCCAAAGCCACCTTGCCGGGCGGGCAAATTCTAATGCAAGGTCTCTAAGGTGATGAGACGAACGTATAGTGAAGAGTTAATAATATATAATAATATTAAAATATGTATAATATAAAAATTATATTGGTCAATAGGGAAAGACCACAGGTGTGGCGCCTCAAAGGACAAATTATGCGGTAAAAAATACAAAGGGATGAAGGAAAAAGATAATAGGAAGAGATATACAAAAGAGAAAAAGGTTAAGGAACGAAAATATAGTTGGGTTAATATGATGAAAAGGGAAAGGAAAATTAGAAGCGGGAAAGGTTAAAGGCTTGTTTATCCCGATTTTTTAGCAAACAGGGGCTCCTCTACGGGTGCCTGAATAATATTTCTTTTTTACTTTCTGCTCGTTGGGGGTAAAAGGAAGGGGGAACCGTAAAATTTGAGGGTCCGGTAAAAGTCTTTGGCCCTAATATGAATAGCTGGGCGAATGGGGACATCCCGTTTTGTGATGGTCATCAATTAAAATTATTATTATCTGTGACCATCCTACATACGTCTGTATGTGTCGACATTACCGACGTCCTTTGGTTGACCTTTCATATACTCTCATTTGTAGTACAAATGAAAAGAAAAAAAAAAAAAAAATTCAAAATTACCAGCAACGAAAGAAGGATATTTTTCCTTTTGATAAGTGGTCTAATGTAAATTCTAAAACAATTTTAATAAATAGAAAGTTATGGAAAGTTTGTAAGATGGAAAAATTTAGAAATTGATGAACAAACTTTTATATATTTATTTATCGGCGAATTTTTTTTATACACTGCCACATTTGATGCCACGCGGAATGTGTCAAGTTGTCAATTAAATATTTTTTTCTTTCCAATCGTACAATGATTATAAAAAATCTGACTACTAATACAATCGAATAACGTATTTTTCTTATTATAAAAATTTTGTTTTGTTGGCACGATTCGCTTTTTATTATACAGACAAGATGGATAAAAAGAAATTTAAGAAAAGGGGAATTTTTTTTTTTTTTTAAAAAAAAAGGACCTATTAACTTGAAAAGAAGGGTTAAAAATATTTTAATTAACAAAAAAAAAAATTCCTCAAAAAGGTGGAAAGAACCAGTTTTCTTATATATTGCATGCAGACAATATTTCCTGCTTAAACTGAAAATTTGATTGTAGGACAATAATCATCAGAAAGATCTGTTATTTTCATATGAATTCCCGAAATTGTAAAGAACTACTAAAATGGACGAAGTATTTTCCCCAACCAAGTAGATCATAATACAATTTCAATTTGACGCATTTGGAACGCAAATCGCAAGTATTTAACTATTTTGGCATCATCTGCTTTTTAAGATGATTTTGACTGACAAATATCCGGATATTTTAATTCAAAAAAGTTCCTGCATGCAGTTTTATATGAGCCTACTTAGTTTTAATTTTTGTGTTATAGTGATATTATATTAAAATAAATTCCAGTAGAAACAATGTGTCGGATTGAAATTTGAAAGCGAGAGAACAACGAATTGAGATGTGAATACAAAATATTGTTTCTATAGTTTCTATAGAGGGATAAAATTGTAACAATCAGAGAACCCACGTGGATGTGCAGTGTACATCATTTCTTTTGCATTGGGGACCAAAATGTACATTTTAATGATAAACTTTGGGGTAAAAAATAGAGATTTTTTAAAATTGGGATTGATGCATAGTTGTTTTTAGAATATAAATATTTCATCAATTTTTACGAATAATCTTTGATTTTTTATTTAGCGCATATTTATAAACAGATTACGTAATTGAAAGACAAAAATGGTGAAAGGCGGTGATATGTGTGTTATTCAAATCCTGTATCATTTCTTGTCTGTTTCATCGTTTATAAATAATATTTCTTACCTATGATCTAATTTGATACCACATGAAAGGCAAAAATTCAAACAGTGTTACTTTTACTATTAGTATTCGGACAAAAAAATTGCCTTGGACAAAAATTTTTTTATCATTTTATTTATTAGTACAAAAAATTTATGACCGAATCGTTGCGTGTGTAACGTCATTAATCTTGCCTACAATTTACAATTTCGGCTGAAATAAAATCTTTATTACAAATTTCAATGTTTTCTTTTTATAAAAGGAGGAATTGAATTAAATTATTTCACTATTCATACCAAATAATCAAATTAATCACTCATATATATATATATATAAAATATCTAGTAATAGTTTACATACAAAGAATAAATATTATTATTACGCCGAAGAGAAAAAGAATTATCTATTAATATCAATATAAGGTATTATATTTACCAAATTAAGTGACCGCAATAGCAGTTACTTAATATAACATAATTCAACTTCTATACATAATACATGCTAAGAGAAAAAGAAAATATATAAATATATATATATATATAAAATAAAGCAGCAAATTTCGTTCCTTCCTTTTAACTAAAATTAAATTTATCAAATATCATTGTGAAGCAATTAATTATCAAAGAAAAAAAATATATATATACACACGCATAAATATGTAATATACTTCAAAAAAAAACTACGAACTATTATACCTTTAAAACAACCATATTTATTATCTCTTAATGCCCTTTGCCCAAGCTTCAACGTCTACTTTGGAATCTTTTGCAGCTGTAACATAGGAATGTTTCTGTTTTAAAAATATTCATTAATTAGTTAAGAAATGTGCCGTAAAAAAATATTTCCCCAAAAATTCTTACCAATAATTCATTGGGTGATGGCCGCTCACTTACTACCTTGATCAAACTAAATAAAAAATGAAATTAAATTAAAATCTATATCTATTAGAAACTAAGTTATTCAAACATTACTTCTAATCTAACATGGTTTATTATCATATCAACATACCATTGCTGAACAAAATCATCGAAGTCTTCCGGAAATTCTCCTGTAGGTAGCCTTGGAGCGGGCTCATTTACAATGTGTTGCAAAAGTTCTAATACAGTCAATTGACTACCATCTGGTGGAAAAGGAAACCTACCCATTGCCAATTCCATCAGAGTAATACCAACTGACCAAACATCAGAGCGAACACTATATGAAGCACCTTGAATACGTTCCGGCTAAAAGTTTTTTTTTAGAAAAAATCGAATCATTAACAAATATTTATCGAACGAATTCCAAATAATGTTAATATTACTACTAAAACTCACCGACATATAATTTGATGTTCCTACAAAAGTATCAGCGATAGAATTGATCAGTTGACCAGACACACCAAAATCACAGATCTTGATCTGTCCCTTTGAATTAACAAGAATATTAGAAGGCTTAACATCTTTATTATATTTAAAATAATAATAATAAAATTAGTATATTTAAGGAAGGAAAATTATTTACATAATATACAAAATATGAAAAAAAATTTTTAAAGAAATGACATTCAGATTACCTCTATGAATAATCCTATGATTTTCGTAGAGATAATTAAGGCCTTCTAAAACCTGTAAATAAAGAATGAATTAGTCATAAAAATAGTGTATAAATATCGGAAAGATTGGAAATAAAACATACTGCCAACGTGATTTTGCCGACAATTTCTAAAGGTACAGGTCCTTTCTTTTTATAGATGTTGTCGAGTGAACTAAATTGAAATAATATAATATTCGAAAAGTTTAATGAGTTATATATGGAGTCAAAAACGAAAGATCATGCTTAAAATATATCAAACTATGTATTATCTAACAGCACTTACCCAACATCCATATATTCCATACACATTGAAATGTCTGCATCAGACATAAATGCACCATAAAATGATACTATGTATTTTGAATTACAATCATGGAGAATTTGAAGTTCTCGAAGAATTTGTTTGCGAACACTTGGATTTGCGTCAATATGAATAATCTAAGAAAATGCATCGATTATAAGGAGAAAGATGAATTGATGTCAGAAATTACTTCAAGAAATTAAAGGGAAAAAGGGCATCAATGTTTGCGAATTTTCTTTTAGTTATTTTGGTTCGAAATAATTACCCCAAATATAATTAATTGACTAACGTGTGAAAATTAGCAAGAAATTTTTTTTTTTTTTTTTTTTTGGATTTGAATCTTGTTATAATATTTATAGTATTTTATAGTATATGTTTTATATATACTTTATTTTTTTTTAATAATGTAAAATATGGTTTAAATATNAAAAATTTTTTTTTTTTTTTTTTTTTGGATTTGAATCACTACCAAAGGTTTTTCTTTTAGTATATTATACCTTTTTTGCCATCAAAGTCTTGGTGGTAATGTGCATAACTTGCGATACTGTACCACCGTTGCCTGCTCCAAGTTCTTTTAAATGCTTCAAATCTTCAGCTTTTAAATCCAATCTAAATTCCAGCCCAAACTCAAGGTCTGTAAGGCGTTGAGCTAATCCATCTTTTGAATCATCCGTACCATTCTTCGGTGACGAAACAACTGGAGAACTTTCAAGCTTTAGCTGTATATTTCGTTTTTTGCGTATGGATCTAGTAGTAGTATTAGGCAACATGTAGATCTCTGGTTTTTTTTGTTAGTTTATGGAATTCAAAAGGTATAAAAAAAGCGATTTGAAGAATGAATGAAAAATAACTATCAAATATAGTTAAATGAAAATTTTTATGGAATTATTTATGAAAAAAAAATTGAAATAAGAGAGAGAACAAGAATGCTGAATATAATGTAACTCCAAACAGTTTACTGTTGTGCAAGTAACTCAAAAAGGTCGACTTTTTTTTTGTGTGTTGAACTATAAAACTTGAAATTATCCAATAAAAGTAATAAGTATAAGGTATATCCCAAGATATTACGATTAGTGAAGAATTCTATTTGTTAAACATTTTACAGTATCAAAAAGCTTATTAATTGTTAATTTCAACTTGGCTTTTTTCCTCGATCTCTCTTTTTTTGTCTTTTTTTGGTTGAACAAGATCAATATTTGGACCACACATGAGTCAATCACTCATTTGATGTCTACTACATTCCCTTACATTGTAGTCGGATATTTTGACTTGATGATTTGGATCAACAAAGAGAAATGATGATATGATGACTATCTATGACATCATGACATCATCGAATGCACAGATGATGTATTAATGACAATTTTATTTCGTCAAATTTTAATGACGTTAACATGACATACCTGGCAATGGTTAACAATTATATAAACTAGCGTTTTCCCCTCGTTTTTTTTCAGTCAAAAATTCATCGATTCAAAAAAGTATTAATTAAACAATCAAAAAAATCAAATCACTAACAATGTCTGATCAACCAAGCAAAACTAATGCTAACGTCAACTATTACACTGGTTCTGCTAAAGAACAAGGTAAGGTGTTGTTTCGTAATTAAACTTCATTATTTAATAAAATTCTCATCTCACTTTTCTTGTGGTAGTTGGTAACTTAACTGGCAACGAAAGACTTCAAACTGAAGGTAAAATAGCACAAGACCGTAGTAATGCCGAATATGATGCAGCCGACAAAGCCCCTTCGAAAATTACCGGAAATTATAATGCTGCGGTCGGAGCTGTAAAAGAAATGGTTGGATCTACTCTTGGTTATACTGAACTTGAAAAATCTGGCGCCCAACAACGTCTTGATGGCAATGCTGAACTTGAAGCAGCTAAAGCTTCTGAATATGTATCAGGCGCTGGTGATAAAGTCAAAGGCGTCGTTAAGGAAAATGTTGGTAGTACCATTGGAGATGAAAAGATGGAAGCTCAAGGATACGCTACTAAATTAAAGGGAGAAAGTAAAATGGAGAGGAATGAGTAAAACCGTTAAAAATTTTAATCTAAAAAACATTTGTAACATTCATTAATAACATTCATTAATATATATATTTATTTTTATTTGTTATTTCATTAATTTTATATCGAAACCAGGTAGTCTTTAATACGTTTTATTTAAATAAAATATTTTTCACAAATAATCATTAAATAAAATTATTATTTCGTGCAAACATTTTTATATAATATTTGATTCATTTCTGTAAACCAATTTCAATTTTGTGTACTTTTGTCAATTAGTACCGTTACCTTTATCAAGTAGCGTAAATAAATAACCTTAAAAAAAATGCAAAAGCTTTATCACAATTTTTTTTTAACGATTTACTGGTCAGAGTACCTTGAACGTGAGCTTTATCTGATAAATCTATATAATTAAAAAAATTTGTAACGTTTAGATTACCTGTATAAATAAATTTCCGTATTTCCATTGGCCAGTTTATTACGTTGACGTTCAACAAATTCAAAAAAAATGAAATTTATATGATTATTATTACTCCATTCAGCCAATCCTGGTGCGAAGCAACGGGTTACAACTAGTTAAGATTATTTATAAAAAACAATAAATTTTACATTATAAAAATGCAAGTTTATGGCATAAAACAAACTGTTGATATAGAAGGCTGGGATCTTAATGAGTTTTAAGTGAATCATTTCATTTAATCTTGTACCAGCAAAACTGTTGGTCGGTTTGGTTGATCAAAAATTCCAATGAACAATTATGACTAAGGGTGCAAACTTAATGACGTGCGTAACTCCACGTCATAGACGTATAACTCTAAGAAAAGTATAATTATTTTATAATAAAATGTATAGACGTAATATTATATTAAGTTAAGTCACATCATAGACGTAACTGGGACGTAACCCTAAGGAAGAGTTAAGTTTGCATCTCTAATTATGACGCAAATGTATCTTTTTTATACGTGTACGACATAGTATCTTATACAACCTATATTATGTGACATATACTTCGTATAAGAACATAGCACCTGATCGTATAAAAACGATACATTTGCAATTATGACTCATAAAAATAGTTGATTTATTTATAACTATTAATTACTTTTTTTTGGAAATGGATCACTATAAAAGGTGACTCATTTTTTTTTTTGAACTGATGGATCCTTTCTTAAATTTTCAGCCAGAATTTGTCTGGACTACTAAAGCAAAAAAGCAAGCAGACGAATAGAACCAAGAATTATTGAAAACGTTTTACTTGCATATCAAAACAGTGATCCTACTACTCAACGGTGTAAGAGTAATAAATATCCTAACCAGAGAGCAGTTATTCAACAGGAAATTTTTGATTGAAAAATTCTTCGTGTGGTTGTAGACATAACAACTGATCCTTGGGTTATAATAACTTATTATTATAGCCAGAAAAGAAGATACTGGAACCAATATGTCTATTAAAGTTAGCTCTGAGAGAGATAACGCCACCACAATGCATGATCTAAAGAAATTGTCAGACAAGCGAGTACAAGTAAGCAGTTTTCGTCAAGATTCTGATCTATCCAGCTTGGACATAGATGTAAGTGTTTGGAATCTATTCCATGTTTTTTTTTGTGTACTTTTCTAACTTCTATTATAATTTTTAGGTTTTAGTAGAAGATTGGTAAAATAAATAGATATTTGAATTTTGCGTACCTATTTTTGGTTTACAACTTTTGTGTACTAATAATGCATGCCGGTTTGTTTTCATTTACTCCACAATGTGGTTATGCAAGGCCTGACATAGTTTTCAGATACTATGAGGATACTGATGATTTGGCAGTTTATTTCGTAAAAGCGTCCCCCGGTGTTATAGACTACTGCGAAGATACCTCTGATGACATTCTTGTATCTTATGACAGTAATGACAAGATTGTATCGGTTGACATAGATGGAATATCAAAAATATTACAGTGTCATATGTTTGATGTGAGAGAGGAAGTGGATGGAAAACCACCTCTTATGCTCAATTCTATTTATTATCGAGATTCAGATACTCTAAAAGTTTATTTTATTGATTTCATTCCGTCTGCAAGCACTGTATGTAAGAAAACTGATATTGAGGATATCGAAATAGAAGTAGATGACACTGGACGAATTGTTTGCATTTTATTTTGCAATGCTAATGAGAAAATAGCAAAACTAATAACTGAAGAAGAAAGGAAAAGCCTTGCATTAAAATGTGAAGAAGAAACAAAGGAACTTGAAAAGTGGTCAAATAGGATTGTTCGTGTATATAATGGAAAGTTTTAGTCTTAATTAGGGTAAACATATTATTATAAAGAAATTATAAATTTATCCAATTTATTTTATTTTTTACTATTACTTGCTATGCAAAAACTAGAATCCCATTCAATATTATTGCATTTTCTATCTGATTAATTTGTAATTATTTTTGGATAATAAAACAATCACATTGTTGAACTACTATATATATAATTTCTTATTGTACTATGCTATCATTTTTTCCGTGTTTTTCAAGTTTAGAATAGTATAATAAGTTCTTATCCTATTATATATAGAAAGATGGATAGTGATACTTTACTAAGATGTTGTAACGTTTGACAACTACTGACTAAAAAATACTAATGTCTGATACATAAGATGCATGTGAAATTTGCCAAGAAAAAATTTGGTTGGGCATAAATGATTGGTAAAAATGATAGCAAGTAAATTATGTAGCTTGCTTTCAAGAAAGGGAGTACGCGAGTCCCTGCGCCATATTAATTCGCATCACTACCATTACTACTATTATTATTATCCACAAAATTAACTCTCTTTTTTCCCTCCCTATTGACTCATGGAATTATTTTATCCATAAAAGGGGACTTTTGATGGCGATAGAAAGTTGCCAATGTCGCCAAACTAAAACCATTTCCTGAGATAATATATTATACATCTGTGTAGGAAAACGTATCATAACAAAACAATAAACAATCAATTGTGATACATGGCTTGTGATAGAAATCTGTTGGAGCCAGCTGTAAAAGAATAATATGCATGCATATTAGTCATAGGAAATCGATTGTCAAATACTTATAAGAACATACCTTGCGAAATAGCATCATTTCTCTTTCTCAGAAGTTTATTATTTAGTGCTAGAATTGATCTTTCTAGACCATTATTTCTTCTGGTCTGTTGTATGAATAAATTTTCCAAAAAAATGATTTTGATCATCTGGATATTATTTCATAGAATGTGATCACGATTGATATAAAACATAAAAATCCTGTCCATTAATTAGCCGATCTCTTAGTTTTTGATCAAATGCTAAATTACCCTATGGGTCCCTTGGGAGACCATGCCCTAAAATAATTAGAAGCATTAATGCATATAAACCTGGACAACTAAGCATATTGGAAAAAGTTAATTTTTATTGACAAAATTTCTATTACGATCCATATTAGCCGTAGGCTAAGCAGGACCCCGGATATCTAATATAAAGGTCATAATGGACTTTTGGCCAAAAACACCCCTTTTTGCTAAAACTCAAAAAATCGTATTTTGTAAATATCTCAGCATCCAGTAATTCAATTTTAATGAACTTTTTTTTATTTTGTAGCCCTCATTTAGCTCTACAATTTAAAAAAACGTTCATCAAAATTGGACTACTGGATGCCAAGATATTTACAAAAAACGATTTTTTGAGCCCCTGAAAAATGAGCCAATCTGCCGAAAGTGTGACTTATGACCTGTTTTGGAGATATCCGGAGTCCTGGCTAAGCCACTTACATGATTCGAAAAAAAAGTCCAGTACCTATGCGAATATGTGATTCGCTTTGATAATTCTAAGCAGTTACTGGAAAGATAATAGGACTCATCATTGGAGACCCTCTCCTTTCGTATCTTCTATCGCGATAATAATAACCTCTATCATATTCACCGCATTCATTATATCCACTATATCCATTATATCCATCATTATCTGAATCGTCTGGCATTTCATCTCCAGAATTACTATCAGGATCAGAGATATTATTACATGAATTAAAGTTACCATCGTGCGTATTAGCATCATTTATCTCATCAAAATACATATCATCGACCGAAGTGACAGTGTTCACTTTACTGGGATTCACCTCATTGAAAAACATATCTTTATCAAACCATTTTCCTTGGAATTATCAGAAAAATTGCTGTTAAGGCGCTTTGCAAAGATATAGGCTAATGGGATAGATGCAGTTGGAATGCTTACCTCAGCTGAACCGCTTTTGATACATTAACCTTTTAAAATCATTTATAATACTTTAGATCTGATTATTAGATAAACTCAAAATTGCACTTATACTACAAGTAATTACCTGAATTTTATCAATTCCTATTCCTATAAATAGCAAGTAAATTCTTTTGGCTCTAAATTTTTTCTAACGCAGGTTCACATCAGTAATATTGGGGAGAAGGACTTTGATCTCATTATACACCTTGATATTATTTACAGACTTGATATCCCTGACTTGATCTTCATATGCTTTATAGAAGCAATATAATACCAGCATATAATTTCCTTTTATCTGACTTTGATTGCTATTCTAAATAGATTAACTATATTTTGCACTGTAAATTTACTAGATTCTATTAGAATTGTTTCTAAGAAGACTTCAGAAATCTGAATATCAAATGTTTTATTTTCACTTTGTAAAGTGAATCCCTTACTTTTCATATAAGCAGGTAACTTGTATCTCAAATCTTGTTCTACTTTCTGTTTAACAGAATCCAAAAAAGTTACAACTGTTCCTGAATTCAGGTTCACTTTGTAAACAACTACCTCTAGTAACGAATCATTTTGAAGTTTCTTCTCTCGCTTTTTTTCCCTAATCTCATTATCAACCTTTTTCTTTTATATCACATTTAAGAATTCATCAGTTTTTTTATCCTCTTCGTAAATTGAAGAGTTGGCAGGCACAGTTACCTCTAGTACCACATTATTTACTTTACCATTAGGCCTACACTGCTTGAGCTGATTTATAACTGAAATGAGTAAGTTGGCAGGTTTTTTGGAAATCAATTCATCTATTTTCTTATCTGATACCTTTAGTATTTCTTTTAGTAACTGAATGTCAGCATTATTTTGCTGGTCCACCATGAAGTCAGATATATCAACAGCTGATACCAGATTATCTATAGATAACCGCACCTCTGCTTTCACTTTCTTATCATTTTGTGGCTATTCAGTTGCTTCAGTAATACCCTGTTCCAATATTGCGAGCTTGACTTCAAGTTTCCTGACTCTAAACTTGAGTTCAGTATTCTCAGCATTATACTTAGCATTTTTCTCCATAATTTGCTTTAGAAATTCAGCTTTCTCAGCCTTAAGCTTAGCATTCTTAGCTTTAAGCTCACTAATACATTGTTTTAATAATTCAAGCTCTAATGTCATGATTTAAAATAAAAAAATCACGTGCGTATTATAAATTATAATACTGATAAGGATGTTAACAGTTCAGTCCATCTGGTTTTTGGTCCAAAAACTGGTGGTTTGAGTACAAAACTGAACCGTTATAGGTTTAGAACTAGAGTTTGAACTGAAGTTTAGACCGAAGTTTAGACCGGATATTTATAGTATTTTATACAAAATTTTGTAATGCAGATCATAAACTTAAATATATTATATATCGTCAAAAAATTTTTTATTATAAGAAAAAAAATTACTAACAAAATTTCACATAATGTAAAAAAAAAGGAAAAAAAAAAGACATATTGCAAGTATTGATTCAATTTTCCATTCTTTCTCTTTCTGATATTCAAATAATTGCCCTTGCATTTCAGGATCTAACCTATTTCTAGTTTTTGAAATAGTTAATCCCAAAATTCCTTAGCTATTTGAGATAGTACTGGGTAATTTTTTTCATAAATTTTCCATCAAATTAAAGAACCTGTATTACTATTTACTGGAGAATTTAAGTATCGATCTAATTCATTATACGATACTTCTTGATGAATATTATTTGGATTAAGTAAATTAAGGAAATAATCACAAGATGATCGTGTTGATGCTGATAGTATGGTTTGATTATTTAAGGATAAATATGACAAATATAATTCTTGTAATTTACTTATAATTTCAGTTATAGTATCATTATGACTAAATAATGTGATTTTGTAGCATGGATCTAATATTGAAAAAGTAATGGAAGATTGATTCAAATATTTGTCCCAATAAGCTTTCAATTTATTATAAATTGCTGATGCTATTGCTCTTTGTGTATGGTGATTTCCTCTTTGATAATGATCTAATTTTTTAAACATTCCATTAAAAACCAATCTAATATCACCTTATGTAAGATTTTTTGATGATGATCGTAAATTGGTTGCTTTATACATAGGTTCTAATACTTTTGCTAATTCCTGTAAAAAAAAAAATAATAATTAATAAATATATAATTATAAAATAAAATAAATAATAATTTATAAAATAAAAAATACCTTAATATGTCGCCATTCAGATATTGTTGGAATTAAATCTCCAAGTTCTTCAACATTTGTTGTTGCAAGTAATTCTGAAACACCCTTTTGTCTATTAATCATAAATATGTGGAATTCCAGCAAATGTCTATATCTAAAATTGGTTTAAGAAATTTAACTTTTTTAATTAGGGTACAAATTTCTGATAATTTATCCAAAAATAATGGTGAATTCTTGATTTTAACAACAAATTGAAAAAGTTTTTTAATTTCATTTCCAACATGATTAATTCCTGCTTTTACTGCTAAATTTATAATATGTGCAGCACATCTGTAATGAGTAAAAGCCATATTATTAAACTCCTGATCTAATTCAGTTGCTAGTTGATATACATGCTGCCCAAATTATTTTGGGATGCCATAATTATAATTTGGGATGTCGTAATTCATTCAATTTATATATAATTTACTATGTAAAGTGCCAAAATAATTTGGGATATCATAATTGAATTTGGGATTTTACTTATAATTACGGCAGCCCAAAATAATTTGGGTGGCATGTATACTAGTTGATTACCACATGCTATTAATCCTATCATGTTGCTTCTATTGTCTGTAGTTAATGCAAGAATATTATTACTGATACTAAACTCTTCAAGAATTTGTAAAAGCTTGCTAGTAATTAACCCAGCTATATGAGAACCATTTACAGGAATTAAATCAAGTAAAAGATTTTTTAATTCCCAATTGTTGTTAATATAATGCATTGTTACTCCAAGATAACAATCTTTTGAGATTTTTGAAGTCCAAATATCAGTAGTAAGAGATATTTTTGAATTAACTTGTGAGACTTCATTAATTAACATATTTTTTCTCATTTTATAATTTTCTATGAATTTTTTCTTTAAGGTTTGTCTGCAAGGTAAAATATAGCGGGAATTCAATTTATTAATTAATAATTTGAATTCAGGATTTTCAACAATAGTAAAAGGTTGCAAATCAGTTGTAACAAAATCAACCAAAGAATCTGTGATAGGTTTAGATTTTGATGGAGAGTAAGGTTTAAAACGTAAAGTAATTTGGCGGGTTTCAGGTTTTTTATAATGTGATGAATGTTTTTTAATTAAATGACATCGAAGTGTAAATGTTAGATTACTAGATGAATAAAGTTTTGCACACAAAATACACTTATAGTTTGTAATTAACCAACTTTCCTCATCTTGAATTTTTTGAAAAAACTCCCAAACATCTGGTGACAATTTTTTATTTATAATTCTTTCATCATCAGATGCTAAGGAATCATCTGATAAATTATTATCGTCATTTTTAAAAACTCCCAACATAGTTGTAATAATACAAGAAAATGTAAAAATGTAAAATCCGTTATTCTTTTATTGTAAAAAGTTACGTGTGCAGATACACATAACCGTTAATTGAACTGATCTAAAACTGGTTCACTAAACTAGTTTCTATTAGTTCGATCTCAGTTTAGTTTGACATTTAAACTGAACCAAAACTGGTCCTATGATCAAACTACAGTTCGAATCATCCAATTATAAATTGTTAACATCCTTAAATACCGATTATTCTACCAAGAAAATTTTTTTATTGATACATGCAAAAAATAAATACAAATATTTGTGATGTAACTCAGGATACATTATTTTTTGATAATTTTTTTGATTCTAATCCTCTTGCTAGCTGAGGAGTTATTTACACTAACACAATCTTTTAACAGCCCAACAATTATACAAATAACTTTTTTCACATTATTTCAGAGTAATTCAGGGTTATTCTTGATGGTGGATTTCAAAAGATTAATCTGGTACTTACTTTCACTTGTACAGTAAATACCATCTGAAGTATATATTATAAAATGCCATTCTGTTTCCATAGTCATAATACCATAAAGATAGTCAAAATAATCTTCATTAAATGCTTGATCTACAATTCATTTTTTCTTATTTATTTGGAATGCACTTTCAAATTGAGTCAGATTTTAAGATATAAATACATTATTCTTTAGTCTTCTTATTTCAAAGCCAATAGACTGATAAGATGAACAGACTTACTTGAGTATATCCAATTTTAATGTTGCATGATTTCCTTTCAGTAATATAAAGAAGCTCTTCCAGACTTTTGATTGTATAATCTATTTGACCTATTGTATCCTTACTGAATATATCTTTTTGTAAAACTATAAATATATCTCAGAATATACATGCTGCCCAAATTATTTTGGGATGCCATGATTATAATTTGGGATGCCATAATTCATTCGGTTTATATATAATTTACTATGTAAAGTACCAAAATAATTTGGGATGCCATAATTGAATTTGGGATTTTACTTATAATTACGGCAGTCCAAAATAATTTGGGTGGCATGTATATCTCAGAAAGTAAGTTTTTTGGCTATAGCAATGGATGTATGAAGAATTGATGAAATAATTCATAGCATGTTATCTCATTGGTATCAATCATGATTTTCACATTTGAAAATTTTAAGATTATATCCTTCATACAGTAATCAAAAGCCTTATTATCATTATTAATCTTCTTAAAGGCTGTGAAGAAAAAAAAAAATAAATGTTTATTACTATATTTATAATGGACTATTTTAGAGCAGTGTAAAATAAAAATAATCACTTGTTAAAAGTAAATTGCTTGATGCTTATTATGTCTTCCCTATTGATCTTATTTCTACATAACATTTTCTTTAAGTCATCAAGAGTTTTAAGCAAGAAGTAGTTTCATAATTTCTGGCTGAGACTCTCAATAAATTCATCTGCTTCACCTATCTCAATAATAAAAGAAATCTTTACTAGAACAATATTGAATGTTATTAAGGATTTTAATACAGAGAAGCTTATTAAATATTTGAAAAAGAAAAACTTGAAACTTGATGATGATGATATCAAATTCTTCATAGGGAAAAAATTTCTGGCCTTACCTTTCTAGAAATAATAGATTTTTTTGTATTGATTCATAATGCTTTTGTCCAATATATATGCAATTAAAATGTAGTATAGAATTATTAGGCGATTATATTACAGTCAAAGCTCGTTATAGTGAACTTTCAGTTCTATCCAATTTTGTTTACTGTAACAAATATTCACAAAAACGGGAGATTTCTTTATAGTGAATTTTATATGAATAAAAAAAAAGTTTCTTATAACGCGAATTTTTTAAACTTTATTATTTTCTTGAATATTTAACATTGCATAAAACTATCTAATGTGGTTTGTTTTATGTTATCTTGAATTTGCTTGTTAATTTTTGATTTTAAAGCATTAAGAGTTTTTAACTCTGTATAATCAACTAAAATATTATCAGGTGGATTTTAAAATACTGAACCACTTTCTCTAAACTACTCAAAGCTTCTTTATTAGAAATACTACTAATATTTGTTTCTAATTCATCGTCCTCTTCTATGTCATCATTTTCAGGTCTTGAAATTATTGCAGCAATAATTTCTTCATCAAATAATAGCTCTATTGGTATTTCATCATCAATATGAATAAATCTTTCAGCTGTAATAGGATCTTGTAAATTTAATTTATCAATCATTTCTTGTAATTCTAAAGTAATTCTATTAATATCATCATTAATATCTTAATTCCAATCGGAATCATTTTCTTCAGGATTATTTCCTTCAAAATCAGGTAAAATACCTGTTTTTTCCTAACAGTGTTCATTGTACTTGATTTTACGATGTTTCATGCTTCATTAACAAATGTTATAGCGTCAAGAATATCAACTAGTGTTATATTAGAACCACTTTCTTAAGCTAAATCGTACATTTCTATTCTATTTGCAATTAATAATTTTCTATATTGAGCCTAAAATTATAAATATATGAATAAATGTTAAAGAAAATTTAAATTATAAGTAACAAAATATTAATAAAAAAAATTCAATAATTGGGTTTACCTTAAAGCTATTGATAATACCGGCATCTAATGGTTGTAAATGGGCAGTTGTATTAGGAGGAAGAAAATATACTTTAATATTTGATAATTGAATAGTTTCGTCTAATAAATGTGTAGGCGCATTATCTGCTAATAATAATATTTTATGATTTTGCCATTTTATTAATTGGTTAAATTTATTTAAATAATCACGCTACACTGATACTTGCATCCATGCAGTACGATTCCAATAGTACCAAATAGGAAGATCATCTTTTTTAATTCCTTTTAAAACACGTGGAGTTTACCACTTATATATTACTAATGCAGATAATTTATGGCTACCATTGGCATTACAAATTAAAACAACTGTAATACGATTCTTTAATTTTTTAGTACCAGAAATATAATGATCTGAAAGCGTTTTGATAGTTCTAAATTCCAAAATAAAGCTGATGTATGTACGTAAAATTAGTTAATAAAATTATAAATTTACACTAAAATTTAACCTATTTTTACCTGTTTCATCAACATTATAAACATCACAAGGATCATATTGTTCAATAATTTCTTGCAAAATTTTGCACTCTTCTTCCAGTGTTTCTAAAGGTGCACTATTCGCTTCACCAGCTCTATTAATTTGCCTTACATTATATCATTTTTTAAATTTTGTTAACCATCCATCTGAAGCGGTAAAAGATGTTATTTGTAGCCTAGTTGCAAAATTCAAAGCTTTAGATTTTAATACATCTCCTGTAATAGTTAGATTTGATGCTAACGCTTGCTGCATTCACAAATACAATGCAGATTCAATTTCTGGATACTTAGCACCTCTATCCCATTTTTGATCTTTAAATTCCTTATTTGAAATATCGATGGATATCTATTTATCTTTTCTTTTAATATTTTACAAACTTGTGGCTTTGATATGCCAAATTTTTTAACAAGATTTTCCTGATTATATGATGGATTATCTATTTTTCACTCGCATAATTCTTTTTTTTCTGCAAAAGATAAACTTTTCTTTTTACTGGTTCCTTCCGCTACTTTTCTTTTCCCTTTTTTATCGGGTGGCATTTTGAAAACAAAGAAAAAAAAGTGTTAATGTGTTACAATGGATGGGCGTTTAAATTAACTAAAAATGATGTTGTATTACAGAACAAATATTAATATCATGTGATATTTACTATAACAAGTATAAATTTATAATATATGTTCTATATTTAAATTTTTATTAAATTTACTATATTTAATATCGAGATTTAATTAAGAAATTCACTATAACAGATATAATTTTATATAGAATGAACTGGGGAAATAAAAAAAGTTCACTATAAGCCAAATTTACTATAACGGGATTCACTATAACGAGCTTTGACTGTACTCCTTTTAAAGGTAATTTTAAAAAAAATTTACTTTACTATCATTAGATATATTTCAATAAAAGAAATCTATTAATGAATATTTTTTTATAATTACAGAATCTTTAAATATTTTAAATTTTAAAAATTTTTAATATTAATTTTAATTTTTACTATTTAAGAAATAATTATATTTACTAATTATATTATTGATTTAAATATTATTAAAATTTTAAAATATATTAGTTAATTATTTTAATATTTTTATTTTTTTTATTTAATTTAGATTTAAGTATAATTCAATTTTTTAGTAAATGAAGTAAATTAATATTATAGACTTAAATATTTTATTATTTATAGTATAATAATTTTATTATTTAATTGCATTTTTATATTTAATTTTAAAAATTAAAGGTTAATTTAATAAATTATTTTTTAATTGTTTAAGTTATGGTAAAATAATTACTTTTAATTTAAAAAATCTAATATTATTTCTTTATTTTAAGTGGTAAAAAACTTACAAGAAAGATTTGTGCTCATCTTTTAAAACAAAAAGCTGGATTTTTTGATGAAAATAAAAATAATACTGAAGCTCTGATATCACAATTGTCTATTTAGTGATATATCAAATAGTTGTATATAAAATGTTAAACTACTGTTAAATCAGTTTTTTTTTTACAAAATCATTGCTTAACTACATTAGTTTTATATGCAAAAAAAGAATTCAATATTAAAAAGTGTAAATATTTGTTTAAAAAATAATTTTAAGATTGGCTATATATAGTAATACAATATTCTTATGATAAAATACTTTACCATCCAATATATCTTGCATCTTATAAAATACTTACAGGTATAATTAATTTTTAAATTGCTGAAATTAATATAAATCTAAAGTATTTTAGATAATACTATATGGTATATTTTACATTTAATGATAAATATATGATTTTTTTAAAACTGGTATAATGTTTTTTTCTTATAAAATATAAATTTTTGTTATTTTTATTTTTTAATTTATTGTATACTTTTTTTATATTCTTTTTTTTTAAATAATATTTTTTTATACTTTATTTTCTATTATTTACTCAAAATAAATCAGAAAAATCATAAGAGAAATCAAATATTAAATTAGAAAAATTATACAGTAAAATTAAAATTATTGATTATAATATTTATTATTTTAATAGTCATCCTAAAAATTTTTTATAATATTTATATTTTTTATCTAAATTTTATGGTTAGAAAACTATATAAGAAATTAGGTATAGGTTAGAAGAATTACAGTATATAAAAATTATAATAAAAGTCAAATAATAGACCTTCAAAAATGCAAATAAGATACAAATTTTTTTAATAAAAATAGTAAAAGCATAATATTGAATGTTAAAGTGGCTAAGTATTTTTACAATTCTACTACTTTATAATTTAAAGAATTGACAATTTATTTGCAATATTAAAGTGATAATATTGATATAGTTGTGAAATAGGGTTCTCAAAATAAAAAACAGGGACTCAATATTATATCATTTGAATCTCAGATTACGTTATTAGGCCATCTGATTTTTGGCGTCATTATCAATTAATGGCGAATAAGAAATTGTTCCGGGACATTATATGATAATTTGATGACACTTAATTTGTCGTAAGTATTAAACTCCGCAGTTTAATATAAATAATTACAATTTTTGTTTCGCTTTTTTCTTCTTTTTTAAATACATTCGGATGAGATAAGGATAAAACTATTATATAAAACGACATGTATGTATGTTTTTAAATGATGGTTGATAATGAAAATCAACAATATTATATCGAACACGATAATTTTACAACTTTTAATGATAAATCACGTCTAAATATTACAACCAAGAATGATGACAAGAAAAAAGTTCCACCCGGGTTTGAGAATATTGTTAGAAGGAATATTAATGTTCTTGATAATCGAAGATTATCTTGGTATATTGCCGATTTTTTCTTATTTTTAAAAGTTTACATGTCATAGTGATCGAAAAAAGTATTTTCTAATAGGGATACCACTAAAGACAAAATTGTGAATGGACCTTCAAGATTTCTTGATGAAAACAGACGGATTGTTAGGAAAGAGATAAAACAAAAGAACAAAAAAACAATCAATTCTTACTATGAGCTGTTTAATAACAACAATTTACTTAGAGTTGAAGAAATGTAAGAATAATCAATTATGCCTATAACTTCAGTAAAAGGTTCTTTACATATTGCCTTTTAAAAAAACTAGGTATAATGATGAGCGGAAAAAGTTTTTGCCAGACTTCACGTTTGAAGACTTATTTGATTACAACATTGAAAATATTCCGATAATAATGATTGAAGGCTATGCTTATGAAAATAATTATACCCATATCACAACAGAATATAACTTTTTTTTGCCCAAACAATTTAAGAAAGAAAGAGAAGGTCATAAGCTAATTCGTGAAATCTTCTATAAAGAGGAAAAAAAGGTAAGTGTGTTTGTTTAATTAACATTTTTTGCAAGAAAAAATTAATCAAAGATCTTTATAATTTAGTGGTTTAAAAACTTATGGAAAAAAGCTGTCCCTTTTCTATATTGCGATTAAAATGTTTATTGAAATTTTTTCATTTTTTTTGTTAATAATAATAATTATTCATTAAATGAAGCTTATGTAACCAAATTAATTACCTAATTACCTGAAGATAATATGTGATATACCATCAAATTACTCGTTTTTAAACAAGTTATTGCGGAGATGATTACTATAAAAGTGCCAAATAATTAACAAACATCTATTTAAAGATATCATCCTGTCTTACAAAGACAACGCGAAATGTTTTTTTTTTATTATTTACATATAAAGAATGATCTTAATTTCTTAAATAAATAAATATATTTTATTTATTTATATATCATATAATATCATATAATATTTCACTAAAAAAAAAAAAAATACGAATTAAACGTATTTAATATATTAATAATATACAAAATACATATAAAGATATAAATTAATATGATAATCATAATATACTGTACAATAAAGAATATCATTCATAGTCGCGAGTACTTCTTAATTTTTTTTGGTTATTTAAAGTTTTAGGTTTACCATGATGATGTTTATCCCACACATTTAAAATGGATCGTAATTTTATTCCATTTTTACCTTTAGCTTTCATAGCCGGAGTTTGATGTTCGTCTTTTGAAAGATTATCATCATCATAATAGTGAGCGTTTATTTCCAATCTCATCTTAGTTGAACCATTGTATTTCTTCGTTCCAAATGAGAGAAATTTAGGTAAATGATGGTGATGATGTTGATGATGATGTTGTTTCTCTTCCTCATTATATAATTCAAACGTAATTTCATGGTCATGATTTTTCTCGGAATTCTTTTGATCAATTTCACAAACGAGTTCTTCATATTGCTTTAACCAATCAAAAATTTCATCTTTTGTTCCAAAGACTATGAATTTCGACCTTAAAAGGGTAAATTTAATTTTTTCAAATTCATGAGGAGGTGCAATAAGTTGATTTAGATTTATATTATCATCTAAAATAATAAAAAATTATTATTCACTTATCAACTAATTGATGATGCAATAAGAAAGGATCTCTCTATACAATACCTATTAAGTATCCGCACCTGATCATCTTATAAATTTTTTATTCTTTCAATTAGTGATTCTCAAAAGGTTTGAAAATTTCAGAAAAGTAGATTTTATGAGAAATAAAAAATAAAAGAAATAAGAAATTTTTTTGTACCTGGAAAAAAAGAATTTGCTGCTTTTATATGAAGCTCACGATATGCATCCTAGAAACAGAATATGATCGATAAAGAACTTTTGTCCTATCGATTCAACACGTTTTTAATTCTAACTGAAAACCATCTATCAATTAAACTTAATAAGGACCGCGTGATAACATTTGAATAGAATATTAATTGATAGTTAGATACGCATACCTTATACGTATGCAATTTTTTCTTGAAATAAAAAAACAAATTTTTAAAGTGGTATTACGGTAACAAATTCCCTAGTTAAAATTTGTCCGAACTGCAATTAGATAGTTCAAATATGAGCGTGAAACCTGACTTTAAGAATTGGTTACTTTAACAGTGACTGGGATTTACAAACTAAAAAAAATTTTGTTTTTTTTCTTTTAATTAGTCAATAAACATATTTCTTAAAATTTCTCGCTGACTAAATTGTAAATTGTATCATATGAAATAATAATAATTTTTTAATCAAAAATTTGCCAAGAGTTGAAAGGGATAAAAGGTTTAACCAAAAGATCAATCCCGACGGATAATAAACCATTTTTTAAGTTCTTTGATGATAATCCCTTTCAAATTTGTAAACCGCGAATAAAATATAAGAGGAATTTTCATGTGCAAAATCGATTCGATTTCGCAGAAAGGAAAGCAATTTGAAATTAATAGTTTCACGGGTTTAGGGATTGACCTATTAGAATAAATCTTTTGAGATTAAAAGGATATATTATTTTTTATGGATATAAAATCCGTGAAATAATAATCCTGTCATTTCCGTTAGTTGGATCTTCACGTGTTGTACTTATATAGTTATGTAATTATTCCTCTCTTGATACGTTTTTTTTCCTTTTCATTATACATTTATGTAATTGTCTTCCAACTTTTTAGTTTTTTAAAGAAATTGTGCCACAAAAAAATAGTGACAGTTCAATTGTGTTACTCAGATCTTCCCAATTGCATCTCTATTTGGAAGTATTCGATTATATGGTAAACGCCAGCAGTGATTAAGCAAGAATAAATTGGAATAATTGTTCGTTTAGTAATAGTTTTCTAACCTTAAAAGTTGCTGTAATTGTATAATTTTTGTTTTTTAGGAACCTCAACTTTAATTAAACGTTCCTAAAATAATTGGCTTAACTGGTTTCTATAGAAGTGTTTCTTAAAGTTTTAAGCTCCAAAAATTTTCTTATTAAATTACTTTTACGATTCTCTTTTATAAATAAATTGGATAGATTTCCTGCAATCAGATATAAAAGGGTAGTGTTTATTGAATTTTAAAAGAAAAAATCTTTGCCAATACTACTATATTTAGACGCGTTTTAATATATATTGTAATGATATGAAATTATTCAATATAGATTTTATTTATTTAACTGCGCAAATTTTGATTAATTATAAAAGTAATTACAAGATTACAAATTATCCCTAAGTGCGAGATGAAGAAGAGATTCTTTTTGAATATTATAATCTTTCAAAGTACGTCCATTTTCGAGCTACGATGATTTTAAAATATAAGGTTAAGATTTCTAATAAAATTAATACACGTTACAATAGGACAAAAAAAAAAATATCGCGTACATGTTGATCGTCATATATTAATTCTTGTTGATCAGGAGAAACCACCTTATCTTGGGTCTTTGCCTTGACTTGATCAATAGTATCAGAAGATTCAACTTCGAGAGTGATAGTCTTTCCAGCGAGAGTTTTTACAAAAATCTGCATACCACCTCTTAGACGGAGCACGAGATGAAGAGTTGATTTATCCCTAATATTATAATGTGTCAAAGTATGTTTATCTTCCAGTTGTTTACCAGCAAAGATCAAACGTTGCTGATTTGGAGGAGTGCCTTCTTTATCTTGAATTATGTTTTTCACTTCTTTAACTGTATCAGAGGCATCAACTTCAATGGCAATTGTTTTGCCACTTACAGTTTTAACAAAAATTTGTATAATCCTTTTTTCACGGTGTACAGACTTAGAGTTACCCATCTTTCTCTATTTTACAAAAAAAAACAAGCAAGAAATTTAGCAAAAAATGTAAGAATTTTTTTTTTTTTGATAAATATTTATAATATTTATAAAATCATAATGTTTAATTATGACTCAATAAGTAACTGAACAATTACATACTTTATTATTGTAGATATTAGCATATCATATTGACTATTATTTTAATAATAAATAACAATTTGACACAAAGATATTATTAATAGGTTAGACTATGATAGCAAATATAGAAAGCTTTATTTGATATATTATATTTCTTTAAATAAGTATAATCAATATATTTTTTTTTTTGAAATTATCCTCAAAGGGATCAGATCATTTTTATTTAAATTTACTGGTAAGTAAACTACAATAAATTTAACCCCTATCTACTTAAATGTAATGGCAAATATACCATGAGTATACACCAATGAAATCTATAAATAAAAAGTTAGTAAAAATTAAAGAAAATTCAACTAGAGAAAATTTTTAACTAACTAAAAAATTCCGAAAAAAACTATATGAAAATTAAAAACCAAAAATTTCTAAATTAAAAAAAAATTAACTTCTAAATAAATAAACTGTTCAGCTTTTTAAATGTTATATTCTGTCCATTAATTTCTTTAGCATCTCCTTCAATTCTATTACTTCCTTATAAAGTTTTTGCTTGGAGATTCTAAAACCCTTCTTTTTCTTGTTTTTCTGCTATTAAAGTTGAGATTTGCAGCAGTTCTAATAATTGAAAGATTCTTGTTTGCTATTTTTTTTATTAGTTTCTCGATCTTATCACTTTTGAATATTGATGAAATCTAATTAGTACCTATAACTTTATTCTTTAGGTAGGGAATTGAGTTGATCAAATTAAAATTGATTTAGTCAAGTGACTCAACTAATAATTTTATGTATTGAATACTATAATCAATCACTAAATATAATCAATTAAATAAATATTAAATAATATAATTAGTTAAATAAATGTGATTAAATCTTAGTAAGTAAACTAGTTTAGTACTTTATAAAAAAAAGGTTCTTTTTTTTATGCTTCTCTATAGAGATTCTGGATGAAACTGAAATATTTAGTCATTTAACTAAACTGAAATAGTTTAGACATTTAAAATTAAAAGACAAAATGCTGAAATTCAATATTCTATAGTATTTCCATGGATTTTTAATTATAATAATTACTTATAAAAAAAAAAATAATAAATTTATATTAAAATATAATATTTTTTAAAGAAATTTATAAAACTATTATATGTATAATATAATTTCATATATTTTTATAATAAAACTATAAATTTATATAATTAAAATTCAAACTTAAAAATTATTACTATATAGTTTAGTCAATGACGAAACTGAAACTAGTTGGTGATGAAACTGAAATTTTTGGTAAAAAGAGTTTAGCCAGATATCACTACTTCTCTACTTAAAGTATTAAACTCTTTTAACATTAACATACCTCCAAAATGTATAAATAGTTCTATCTATTAAATTTTTACATATATAAAAACACAGATGAATAAAAGTTACAAATTACTATATCATTTTTCTCAGCAGTCATTTTAGTTAATTTACTATAAAGTACTATAATCAATTAATTGTTTGATTAATTATTCAATTGAGTATACTTAATCGAATTTTAATTGATTACTGCTTATTAGTCAATTTTAATTGATTTTGCCATAAAATTTTTAACCAATTAATTAAACAATAATTTTTAACGTCAACTCAATTCCTTATCTTTAGGTTAGGATTCTTCTGAGAATTTATAAAGTCTTTGAATTTGTTCATTATTTTTATTTTATCTTTAGATTATCTAATAAAATAAGAAAAAGCATGATATCAATTATTTAATTTTGTAATTTCACTTTATAAAATTATTAAAATCTTTCTTTTGAATTAAAAATCTTCAAATAATTTTAATTTAATTCTAATCTCAAATTTAGTTATAATTTATTATATTTGTAAATGTGTGATTTTTTACTATCTAGTGATCCTATAAAAATGAATTATAGCTCTTTGGAATCTTCTCATCATGGTAAATTGAATAACAGTAATTTTATATTTCTATAATTGATATATATCACAATAATTATGTATTATTTAATATTAACATATTATTAATTAATTATATATCAATGATAAATATATGAAATTATTACCATTCAATTCACTATGATGAAAGAATTTCAAAGAGCTACAATTTATTCTTATAGGATTACTAGATAGTACATTTACAAAAATAGCAAATTATAATTAAATTTGAGATTAAAATTGAGCTAAAATTATTTGAAGATTTTTAATCTAAAAGTAATATAAATGATGGTTTAAAATTACAAAAATTTAAATATAACAATATTTTTGTTATAGTACCATTAATTAAAAACTTTTTTCTTTAGTAACGTCAAATTTTAATCCATAACACTTAAAAATATATAAATAGTAAATTTACTTAGAAATATAATAGTTACAAAACTATATTAAAATTATTATATTTTTTAAATATTTTAAATATTTTTATTTAAAAAAAATTTATATGAAAAAATTATTTAAGAAATAATTGATTTACTATAATAATTTCTGATATGTATTAGAGGACCCCGGATATCACATATATAACTCATAACTGATCTGCATAAATTTAAGTACTTTTTGCTCCTGCTAAAATAGACCTAATTTGCTAAAAATCAAATTATCACATTTCAAATCTATACTAATTTGCTAAAACTCAAAATATGAGTTAATAAT